ACCATGTTGACCAGGATGGTCTCGATCTCTTGACCTCGTGATCCACCCACCTTGGCCTCCCAAAGTGCTGGGATTACAGGCGTGAGCCACCGCGCCCGGCCATGGCAATTTTATTTTTATTTTTATTTTTAATATAGGTAGGGTCTCACTATATTACCCAGACTGATCTTGAACTCCTGGGTTCAAGTAATCCTCCCACCTTGGCCTCCCAAAGTGCTGGGATTATAGGCATGAGCTCTTGTGCCCAGCCCCATGTCTTTATCGTCATTCTGTTCCAACCTGCTTGGCCAGTGATTTGCAGATACTAGGTATTCAATATATGTTGAATTGGATTTATTTTGTAGTGCATGACCTTTTTAAAATGGCTCAATTGGGCCAGGCACAGTGGCTCATGCCGGTAATCCCAGCACTTTGGGAAGCTGAGGAGGGCGGATCACCTGAGGTTGGGAGTTTGAGACCAGCCTGACCAACATGGAGAAACCCTGTCTCTATTAAAATAAAAATACAAAATTAGCCGGCTATGGTGGCACATTGCCTGTACTCTCAGCTACTCAGGAGGCTGAGGCAGGAGAATTGCTTGAACCTGGGAGGCAGAGGTTGCAATGAACCAAGATCATGCCATTGCACTCCAGCCTGCGCAACAAGAGTGAGACTCCATCTCAAAATAAAATAAAATAAAAATAATAAAATAAAATGGCTCAATTGTCATTTTCTCTGTGTTACTTCCAATTGGATTATAAGCTTCTTAAGAATGTGAAATGTATCTTAGGCCTTGGCCAGTTTCTTAGACTCCGTGTTAGTTTTCTCTTCTGTAAAATGGTAAAAATAATAGTCCCTCTTAGCTGTTGTTCCACAGCATCTAGAAGAGTGTTGTACCCATTGTAGCTGCTTAATAAACATTTGATCAATGAATCAAATCCAGTGCACCCAAGTGAGCAAACCTCTGGAAGGGTTACAGAAGAACCCATCCCATAGCTTTCTCCTAAATGCCTCCGTGACCCGAACAGAAGTTCGCCTCCTGGGTGTTGCTGCATTAATGAACTGACTACCTGTTTTGCTTTGTTTTGTTTTGTTCATAGTGGAAAACCTCAACCACTGTGAGTTTGCCCTGCTTCGAGACTTTGTCATCAGGTAAGATGTCTCCCCTCCCCCTGTCCAGATAGCAGGCTGAATTATTTGGGGTCAGGGTCTGTCTGTTCAGATTCACCTCCTGTGTCTCCAGGTCTCTATGACAGAGCTTTCTGCGTCAGTTCCAGCTCCTGTTGCAAACTGGAAGGGGCTGTAGAAGCATCCTTAGCTCCTGGGAGTGGGTCCCAGTCATTGGGTCCAGTCCCTTGAAGTGATGTACATCACCACCTCCTTTTCCTGCCCCTAATTCATCCTTTTTTTTCTCACCCTGTGTCCTCTAGGACCCACCTCCAGGACCTCAAGGAAGTGACACACAACATCCACTATGAGACTTACAGGGCCAAGCGGCTCAATGACAATGGAGGCCTCCCTCCGGTGAGCGTGGACACAGAGGAAAGCCACGACAGTAACCCATGATGACCCCTTCTCTGTGTCATCATACATACCCACTTCACATACACACATCCCAAATACCACCACCAACCACCTTCTTCCTCTCAGCTCTGTCCCACAGGCCTCTCTGGTATTTGTGGAGCATCTTGTCTATGTTGTGTGTGTGTGTGTGTGTGTGTGTGTGTGTGAACAAGAGAGCCTGTGTGTGTGCATGCAGGGGTGAGGTATTTTCACTGCCCTCCCTGGAGAGTCCCTTGTAAGTTTGGTTCCTCCATGCCTGTCCATTATCTGTCTCCTTTTTCTTGTATCCCAAAACAAAGCCCTGTGCCTCACTCAGGAGATGTGGGGGAGGTTTCATTTAAAAGTATTGGGAGCAGGTGAGCCACAGGCAACTCTTCTCTCGGAGCCTGCACACAAACTGGGACTATAGAGATTCTCCAAGGACAGATGGCAGGGAGCTAGACCTGGGTAGGGGGCAGGGAGTTCAGAACAACCCTCTCTGTAAGTTGGGGGTGGTCTGGGGTTAGGATGGGGCTTCCTGGGAAAAGGAAGGTCACGAGAGGGCAGAGAAGTAGGCCAGAGCTGGGTTCTTACAGAAAGAATCAGTGCCTACGAGTGGAGCTCCACCCTTCAGTCTGTGTTGTGTTCACTGTCCCAAAGCCACCACCTGTCACCAGAGCCTACTGCTGCTGTCCACTCACCTGGCCTCCGCTCCCAGGCCAGTGCCTGTCTCTGCTTCCTGCTTTGTCTTCTTTCTCCCTTTCCCTCCTTTCCTCATACATTTCTTTCTCTCCCTCTCTCCTGCCCATCTCTGACATCTTTCACTTCCTTTTAGATGAATCTACGTTAGGTTCATTCCTATATTTAGAATTTATGCCCAGTCTACTTCCAGAAATGACTTTAGGCTACTTTCAAATAAAATCACAAAAGTACAGGACAGGCTGGGTGCGGTGGCTCTCGCCTGTAATCCCAGCACTTTGGGAGACTGAGGCGGGTGGATCACGAGATCAGGAGTTCGAGACCAACCTCACCAACATGCTGAAACCCCATCTCTACTAAAAATACAAAAATTAGCTAGACGTGGTGGTGTGCACCTGTAATCCCAGCTGCTCGGGAGGCCGAAGCAGAGAATTGCTTGAATTCTGGAGGCAGAGGTTGCAGTGAGTCTAGATGGCGCCACTGCACTCCAGCCTGGGCAACAGAGCGAGACTGTCTCAAAAAAAAAAAAAAAAAAAAAGTACAGGACAGTACAAACTGAGATTGCCAGAGAAACTGAGCCAAAGAAAGGAAGAGGAAAGAAAGTTTCTGTAGTCAAACACCCGAACAAGCCTTGAGCTCACAGGCAGCCAACGTGAAGAGGGAAACACAGTGAGTGATGGAGTTCCCAGTGTCCAGTTAGAGGAAGCACACATGCTGGTCAGGCGAGACAACCTTTTATGGGGACATTAAGTTCTATAACTAATTCTAAAGAAGTATCAGAAACAATGTACATTATTTGTCTTAGTGATTTGGCTTCAGAGACAGATTTTTGACCACACCTCCCTTTTCTCCATCAGACTTCTCTCCCTTTTAAGCAGGCTTCTCTGTTGTTCCATTTGCCTCAAACATACTTGACCTCTTTCTTTTCTATTCCCTGTTACTTTTGTGCTGAAGCTAATTACATGTATGTCTTTCTCTGCTTTTCCCTAATTCCCTCTCCTCCTGACTCCTGCAGGCAGTCCCAGTGATACCCATTTTCATACACTTAGGCTTTTCTTGTCTCTCCCTGAAGCCCTGTATTTATTAATGCATATATTTCCCCTGTTTGCTGTACAAGTAAGTTACTCTTTTCCTTTAATCTGTAAGATTGATGAAGTTCGGGCCGGGGAAACAATTTAGCCTTAGGCAAGGGAAAACACCAAGTGAAACTGTTTACAATAACCTCATACAACCTCCTGTCCTATCTCCTGGTTCAGCTGAGGTTTTTCACTGGTCCTCTATGAATCCCAGCACTTACAATCCCAGTCTTTTATCACTCAGGTGCTAGGAAGAAAACACAGACTTAAGACCCAAGATTCAATGGACCAGGGGAAATGGGGGTGGTGATCAGGTCACCGGTGACCTCAAACCTATGGTCTCGGTCTTTCCTGGAGGCTTATTTGCCAACCCAGCCCTCATCCTCCCCTGCTTACAAAGTTACAGGGTAGGCTCCTGTCAGGATAGAACAGCAGTGCTACAGCCCAGAGGTTACTACATTTCAACAGAACAGGGATCCTTGGCTGCCAGAGAAGCAGTCCTGTATGGAGACCTTGGACCAGCAGGGGAAGATCTAGGGGTATGGGAGGTGGGTGTCGGAGAGGCTGAGTAGGAATGGTGCCTGACACCCCGAACCATGATCTCAGCCTCCATGGAGAAGGTATTTTATATGTGTGCTGCCAGCTGCTGGTCTCCACACCCTCAACAGTTCTCAACCCCCCCTGCAGGGAGAAGGCCTCCTGGGCACTGTCCTTCCACCTGTGCCAGCCACCCCCTGCCCCACTGCTGAATGAAGGCCATTTCAAGCGCTGCTTCTCCCTCCATTCCTCTCAGCTGTTATTGCTGCAGGGCCAAGCCCTTTTTAGTGCTGTGCTTGTCCAGCTCACCACCACAGTCCTTCTCAACCCTCAGTAGGTAGGAGGGGCCAGCTGCCTCTAGGACAGTTGCTTCTTCCACTTATCCAAACCACTCCTCTCCTCCCAGTGGAGTGGGGTTCTGCCAGCACTGCCCTACTGCATCGTCTGTGTCAGCCGGTCCCAGGCCATCTGCAGGGCAAAAGAACTCATCAAGAGCTCCTTCTGTCCTTGCAGACCCACCCCAGCTACTTGTAACCATCTCCAAGGGCAATGGCATTGCTCCCTACTCATTCATCTGCATGAGCTACTCTTGGCTTCCTTAAAGGGTCAAGAAAGCAATTTTTCTGCTTGCCAGATTCATTGAGATCAGCTGTGTGAGCCCCAATGTGGGACGAGGGTGTCTCCTTCATTGCTTAAAAGAATTCATGAGGGTGGGTCACTATAGATGTTGAGGAGCAAGGGCTAGGATCACTTTTTAAAAAATCACCACTTGTGGCTGGCCCAGAGTGCAGTTGTACATCCTCCCCATCTCATAACGTAGCCACTGAGAAAGAGTGGTTTTCCTCTCATCCAAGTACTAACCAGGCCCGACCCTGCTTAGCTTCCGAGATCAGAAGAGATCGGGCGCGTTCAGGGTGGTATGGCCGTAGACGGTTTTCCTAAGAAGACATTGCTGGAGTTGACTTTCTTATGTCCAAACAAACAAAAACCAAACACACACACAAACCCCCAGAAACCCACAATATGTACACTCTAAGGAAAAACTAGCGCCCTTCTGTCCGTTCAGCAATAAGAGGGATCTCTTCCCACCTACCCTACCTAGTCCTACCCCCACCCCCTTCCTCATTAATGTGAGTAATGAATTAGCCTGGCCACAGGTGGTCACTATAGGCTAATGGAAAATACCCAAGGGAGGGCAAAGCCCCCCATCAGATGCATGAATGTTTTCGAATGTTGACTGCCACTGCCCCACACAGTGTCTTTATAGAAGTCCCCTTTGCCCACCCCCTCCCTGTCTCCACCTGGACACAACTTGCTCAAAGGCTGGTGACTTGTGGGCCATTCAACTACAACCAAGTCCTGATGGAGCAAGAGGCCCACGCCTAGGGGATGCAAGAACGACCCATTTCTTAAATGTTACCAGTCCCAGCCAATCTTACAGTGACATTACAGTTAAATTTCCCAAATGAAAACAAGCAAACAGACACTCAAACTGGTCCTGTAAATGTTGCTAGATTTATGTGTTGTACAACTAAACACTGCTGTTTGAACAGTAATTGCCTGGCGTGTCTTATTGTGCTCTTTGACCAAATCAGCTGTTATATCATCTCACCCATGTATGGAGGGTGAGACTGTCTTGGTAAGAGGTAGCCGCAGATACAAGAGATGGAAACACTTTGTGAGGTTGGGCCTCAGTCATTATTTTATAACATTTTATATCCAAAATGAGTAATGGATGGGAGGTTGAGGTGGGAGAATGGCTTGAGCATGGGAGGTTGGGGTTGCAGTGAGCTGAGATCACAATACTGTGCTCCAGCCTGGGCAACAGGGCAAGACCCTGTCTCAAAAAAAAAAAGCAACAACAAAATGAGTGATGGAACTATCACACCTGACCTTGAGGGATGCTGTGCAAAGTACAGCCTGTCTCTAGTGAAAATGATGCTTATTTTCATTCAGTTAACTTCCTGGCTCTCCCCCTCCTTTTTCCTGAATGTGTAAGGACCAAGTCTATGAAAGGAGTGGACCTGGCTGGGTGTGGTGGCTCATGGCTGTAATCTCAGCACTTTGGGAGGCTAAGGCAGGAGCATCGCTTGAGCCCAGGAGTTCAAGACCAGCCTGCAACACAAGACCCTGTCTCAAAAAATATACATATAAAAGGAGTGGACCCATGCTAGATACCTAGATACCTAGATACCTGCTTATTTTACAGTGAATAAGGATTAAAACTTAAGCACTAGCTTGTATATATATATATATATATATATATTTTTTTTTTTTTTTGAGACGGAATTACACTCTCTCGCCCAGGCTGGAGTGCAATGGCATGGTCTCAGCTCACTGCAACTTCCATCTCCTGGGTTCAAGTGATGCTCCTGCCTCAGCCTCCCAAGTAGCTGAGATTACAGGTGCCTGCTACCACACCCAGCTAATTTTTGAATTTTTAGTAGAGATGGGCTTTCCCCATGTTGGCCAGGCTGTTTCAAACTCCTGAACTTGTGATTCACCCGCCTCGGCCTCCCAAAGGAGCTATCACACCCGGCTTTAGCTTATATCTTTCTTCAACTTAAGCCAACTCTTCCTCTCCTTAAGGTGCACACTTTTTATGGTAGCCAACAAATAACACACTCACCTGTATATTATTTCTCTGAATGTGACAACTGTAGGGAATTATGTTTGACGCCTCAACATTCTGGAGGATGAGTGCAAGGTATGGATGAATAGTGGGAAGTGGTTTGGTAGGGACAGAGTTGGATGAAGACAAAGCAGGAGGCTGTGGGAATGATTGAAGTAAAATGACGAGGGCAGAAACGAGTAGCACCATGACACTGAGATGGAGAGAAATGAAATATGAGTGACAAAGCAGTTTGGTGAACATAAAATGTCACAGCTGAAAGAAACCTAAGAGCTCTTCTGTTCAAAGCCTTCAAACAGATATATGCAAACTGGAGTCCCAAGAACATAATAATCTTTGCCCAAGGTTGTTGTAGTAAGGCTTGTATTTTGAAACAAATTTTCTGAACTCAAAATACATTTACAATTGATGGAATGTCAGTTTATGTGGCAACTTTTTTTCCCCCTCAGTGGTACATAAAAAACTGTTGCATCTTATGCTTAACAGTGTCTTAAATTTGATGAAAGACAGTAGTCAAGAAGAGGTTTACATCTCTTTGAAGATCCTTTTGATCTCTTTGAAGAACTCTGGTGCTGTGTCTGGAAGACCCTCTGATACTACTGAACTCTATTTTTATTATTTTTATTATTATTTTTAATAGGGTCTTGCTCTGCTGCCCAGCCTGGAGTGCGGTGGTTGGATCACTGCTGGCTGCCATCAGCAGCTTCCATCTCCAGGGCTCAAGCAGTCCTCCCGCCTCAGCCTCCTGAGTAGCTGGGACTACAGGTGTAAGCCACCACACCCAGTTAATTAAAAAA